CATCATCATCATCATCATCATCATCAGCATCAGCATCAGCATCAGCATCAGCATCATCGCCATGGCCATAAACCTCACCACTCCCACCACCTCCAAAACCGTCGTCATCAGCAGCAGCATCATCATTATCATCAGCAGCATCATCATTATCAGGGTCATCATCACCATCATCATCCTCATCGTCATTGTCACCATCATCATCATAATCGCCATCGCCAACGTCAACATAAAGAGCAGATCCATCGTCGTCGACCAAATCAGCATCATCCTCAGCATCGGAAGCATCATGGGTAAAATCAGACTCATCGTCGCCATCGCAATCATCAACGTCATCATCGTCATCACCAGCACCATCGCCATCACCATCAACATCACCAGCCATCACCATCATCAGTATAAGCACCATTAACGCACCATCACCACCACTACCAGGGGGGCTGTCAACTGCGCAACACTTGCCACTTTCGCGTGCTCATTTGAGACCCAGCGGAGCGTGGTTTTACACACATCCAGACGGGACCTCGCGCTGCCTCGGGGGGCTGCCAATTGCGCAACTGTCGTCACGTTCGTGGGCTCCTGGGGGCCCAAACGGGGCGCGGTCTTACGACCTCGCGTCTTGAAACCCTCTTGGGCCGTCTTGATGTGCCTCGGAAATTTCATTTTCGACCCACCCGTGGCAGTACTGAAACTGCACCGCGGATGGTCAGAGAGGACCCATATGACTGCTGAGCCCTGGACTCCAAGGGGCCCAGGAGTCCTTGGCCCTAGAGACGACACTGTCGCAGGGACAGCCTTAGGGTTTGAATCTGTCGGGTACGGCGCCGGGTAAGACGTCGGGTACGAAGTCGGGTTGCTCGTCGGGTACGACGTCGGGTCAGCGGTCAGGCCGGGCGTTGAGCTGGGCGTCGGAAGGCCGTCGGGTACGGCGTCGGAAACGCTGTCGGGAAGGCCGTCGGGTACGGCGTCGGGAAGGCCGTCGGATACGGCGTCGGGAAGGCAATCGGGTGTGGCGTCGGATCGGCCGCCGGGTACGGCGTCGGGAAGGCCGTCGGGTACGGCGTCGGGAAGGCCGTCGAGTACGGCGTCGGGATGGCTCGGGGGTACGGAGGGGCAGGGTTACGGACTATGTGGGCCTGGCCAAGAAAATTGCATTGGACTTGCTCCAGGAAAACTGGTTATCGCATGCTTGAACAATGCATACTTGTTCCCGTCCAGACACTCGCGTCGCGCACGTCCAGAATCCTCTCGGGGCTCTGGAAGCCCTCTCAAGGCCCTTCTGAGGGGGCAGTGGGGTCTTAATGGGGACCTGTGAGAATCGTGGGACCCTCTTGGGGCCCTCGTGGGGCTCCCTTGGGGCCCTATTAACGGCCGCTGGGGACATCTGGGACAAGTTGCGCGCCCATCCCCGCGGGGCCGCCAGAGTCGGGAGACCTAGCCTACGGCAACGCGCGCGTCAGACTCCCTCCCGACGGCTGAATTGCGTTGTCGACGGTCGAACCGCGAAGTTGTCGGTAGAAACCGAGATCTCGACGGGTCGGAAGAAGTACTTTCCACTGCGTTTTCCACTCACCCGGGACCTAGAACAACGCTTCTGCTGTCGGCAGAAACCGAAGTCTTGACGGTTATAAGCGTAGCGCACGCTGGGAACGCACCCCGTGGAACCACCACGGAGACCCCGCCGAGGCCCTGCGGGGGCCCCCAGGGCGCTGCCCCCGACCGCCCGCCTCAACGGTTGCCCCACTCGGCGTAAGAGAAGAATCATCCAATCCACGTGCCCCCCCCAGGGAGGCCCTAGGAAGTTACGCACGTGCCCAAACAGTACAGAGCACCTTGCCAGATTATTTCCGCAGCGCGTGCTGCACCGCCTTGAAATTATGCACCATGCTATGTGGGGGTGCGATTGGATTGGCCCGTGCCAGATGGCAACACGTGACATACACGTTGAAATATCTATTTGTTCGGTGTTGGAATTTGCGCGCCAACCCAGCCTTGGGTGAGACCCGTTGTCCCCCCACGCCCAAGCGGCCACCGCTCGCTCGGAAGAGAAGGCCTGTGAGATCCCTGAGGGCCAGCGAGTCCTCAGGATGCACGTGTTGCGCGCTACCCGCATCCTCACGGCCCGCCCCTTGTCCTCCTCCTCCTCCTCCTCCTCCTCCTCCTCCTCCACCTCATCCTCCTCCTCCTCCTCCTCCTCCTCCTGATAATTCCCTTGGCGAGGACGACATGTAGCACCTCACCGCGACTCATCTTCATCCCTGACCAGCTTTATTCCTCATCCTCTCCCCCCCACGCCACCCTTCACATCGACTCCCCTTCCCGCCCGTTGTAGAACGCCCAGAGCGTCACGGCGATCATAATGGCCGCGTGGAGCAAGAATGGAGCGTGAACGCCTGCCCTCTCCCTCCCCGCCCTCCTCCTCCTCTCCTCTCCTCCTCCTCCTCCTCCTTCTCCTCCTTCCGCCTCCTCCTCTTCCGCCGCCGCCTCCCCTCGTCCTCCTCCTCCTCATTTTCCTCCTCCTGCGCCTCCTCCTGGTCCTCGCCGCCCGCTGACATGGAAGCCCCGGCGGCTCTACGGTGGCCTCCCACAGCCTGGCCGTACCTAGCTCCGTCGCTGTCCCGGGCTGGCCTCCTGTCGATGCCGGCCTCCTCTTCCGCCTCCTCCTCCTCCTCTTCCTCTCCTCCACCTCCACCTCTCTCTCCTCCTCCCCTCCTCCTCCTCCTCCTCCTCTCATCATCATCCTCATCCCATCCTCATCTCATCCTCATCCCTCATCCTCATCCTCATCCTCATTCATCCTCATCCTCATCCTCATCTCATCCTCATCTCATCCTCATCATCATCATCATCATCATCATCATCATCATCATCATCATCATCATCATCATCATCATCATCATCATCATCAGCATCATCATCATCATCATCATCATCATCATCAGCATCAGCATCAGCATCAGCATCAGCATCAGCATCATCAGCAGCAGCATCATCATCAGCAGCATCAGCATCATCGACATCATCATCATCATCATCACCACCATCATCATCATCATCATCATCATCAGCAGCAGCAGCAGCAGCATCAGCATCATCATCATCAACATGATCATCATCCTCATTATCATCATCATCATCATCATCATCATCATCATCATCATCATCATCGTCATCATCATCATCATCATCATCATCCTCATCAGCATCATCATCATCATCGTCATCATCCTGCTTATCTCTACCGTCATCACCACCACCATCATCGCCACTACAATCACTGTCTTCTGTTTCGTGAGCATCAGTATCATGATCATCATTATCAGCATCACCATCCTCATCATAATCATCATTATCAGCATCATCACCATCATCATCACCACAAGCACCAGCACCTGATCATCATTGTAATCATAAGCAAGAGCATCAGCATCAACATCATCATCATCATCATCATCATCATCATCACCATTATCAACATCAGCATCGTCATCATCATGAACAGCATTATCGTCACCATCATGATCACCATGATCATCATCATCAGCAGCAGCATCAGCATCATCAACATCATCATCATCATCATACCAACCATCATCAGCACCCCCATTACAATCACAATCAGCATCAGCATCGTCATCATCATCGTCATCATCACCATCAGAATCACCATCCCCATCATCATCATCAGCATCATCAGCAGCATCGGCATCAGCATCAGCATCATCATCACCACCACCATCATCATCATCATCATCAGCAGCATCATCAGCATCTTAATCATCATGATCATCACCATCATCATCATCATCATCATCAGCATCATCATCATCGTCATACTGCTCCTCCTCCTCCTCCTCTTCCTCCTCATCGTCCTCCTCCTCCTCCTCCTCTTCCCCCTCCGTCCTCTCCCCCCCCTCCTCCTTTCCTTTTCCTTACAAATGCCTTCGCCCTGTCGCACCCCGAGGCCAGTTTTTAGGGCGGGCCAGGCGTTTCGCCTTAGATTTCCTCGCCACATGTGACTCTGATACTAAAAAAATTGACAACAGCTTCACCGATGGAGAGCGGGTCGTTTTCAAAATGTGGTTCTCGCCTTAGCGCGGCGCACATTCGTTTGAAACAATTGGGACATTCACGGATTGAGGGCGGGTCGTTTTCAAAATGTGGCTCTCGCCTTCGCGCTGCGCACATTCCTTTCGAATAAGTGCAGCTTCACGGATTGAGGGCGGGTCGTTTTCAAAATGTGGCTCTCGCCATCGCGCTGCGAACATTCCTTTCGAAAAAGTGCAGCTTCTCGGGATGACGGCCGATCGTTTTCAACATGAGGATCTCGCCTTAGCGCGGCGCATAGTCGTTTCAAAAACTTGCAAAATCTTCACGGGTCGAGGGCGGCGCCTTTTCAAAATGTGGTTCTCGCCTTAGCGCCGCGCACATTCGCGCACACAACTTGGAAGAGTTCCAAGGATCCCCATCATCAACGTACCAAAAATGGTGTTTTGAATGAGTACACAGATACGCGGGCACAACAGTTACGTTGATTCGCTGTGTTGAAATCCCAAGAATTGATGTCTGGCGCAAGTCTGGATCGTCAACGCGCAATAATCAGGTTGACCCGTGGCATTGGAATCCCGGGAACAATGTTTCGGCATGCTTCAGGGTGTTCAACAAGTTGCCTTCCAACGAGGCAGTTCCCTCAATGGAAATGAACCGTTGTAGGGGCCTATGAAGAGGGAGCTCGGGGGTGTGATTCTTCCAACATCAATGACGACTCTTGGGTTTACACTGGTCCTCCTCCTCCTCTTCCTCCTCCTCCTCCGTAGCCACTCTGGCTCAAGATGCTTGCTCCACATGGGAACACGTGGATACCGCTAGTCCGCAGCCAGTGCAGGGTTGTTCAGCCCGACAGCTTTTGCGAGGGGTGGTCCGCCCCACTCTCTCGCTTGCGCTCTCAGAGAAGCGCAGTCTCCATGGGAAAGAAGCATGGGCGAGCGTGGAGCACGTGCGAGGATTGCCAGAAATTGATCTGGAACTACAAGCTCATCGCCAACGACAGGTTCTACCAGTGCGGACACAAAGTGCAGCTCTGGGAACCGTGGAGCTCAGCGAAGTTGTTTGGCCGCCCAGATACCTCTACCAGCGACAAGCAGATGCGCAACCTCCTCCAGGCTGCGGGCGTGCCGCCTGGGGTGGCGGAGGCGATCAAGGCCTCCCTCCAAGCTCAGGCGAAGAAGCCGACTCCCACGAATGCTTGGGAAGCGGCTCAGAAGGCGAAGCAGGAGTTGCGAAGGCGGGGCAGGCGACTCAGCGGGCAGCTGCGGCGACGTTGCGGACCCTCGGCGAGCTCGAGACAGCCACCGAAGCACATGAGGAGAAGATCGCGGAGCAGGTCGTGGCCGAGACGGCCCATCGACTTGCCCCTCATACCCTGCAGAGGGAACAAGCCCGTGACACTCCACAGGCGCTGGGAAATAAGATTGTCATCGGCTATGGTATCTTCGAGACAGCGGACCCCGATGATATGGAAGAGGCCGAAAGGAATACCTTCAAGCAATATAAGTTGAAGTTCGACGCAGCCCGTCCCCAGCTCGAGACGGCAGCGCAAAAGTCGCAGGACCTCATGGCGTCCATCAAGGGCTTCGACATGGAGAGGGCCGCCAAGCGTAGGCGAGGTCACGGGGGCGCCGCGGGACACAAGGAGGCACCCGCGGGCACTGGCGCGGGCTCGGGCGCGGAGTCCTCCGACGCGGGCGGCCCCGCCGCCGCCGCGGCGCCAGCGCCCCCGCCGCTCGCCAAGGCTGCTGGCCCACCCGCTGTTGGGGGTGAGCGGCTCAGGGCCTTGGCGGCCGAGTCCCTGCGTCAGGCGGCTGAGGCCTCCTCCAAGGCAACCGCTCCCAAGCCCAGGGCCCCCCCGCCCAGGGGCCCCGGGGCTGCTGATGGGTCTGCCGCTCCTGCTCGCGAGCCTCATCAGGGGTGGCGCCGAGCGGCCTGCTGATACGCAGCCTGTCTTGGAGGCCTCTCTGTTCTACGCGAACATCACGGAGTGGGGCCCGCAGGCAGGTGGCTAGCTTCTGATGGGAGAAATATCACGTCGTCGACACGGTCGAGACATAGACCTCTAAAGAAAAGCAGCAGCAAGAGTTTCTCAAAATTGACAAGGGCGACTGGCGCTCCTCGAAGTGCGACGCGCTGCCCACAGGCCGCTAGGCTCAGGGCGCGACGGGAGGTGAGATGGTGCTCGCGCGTAAGTCGGTGGCTGCTTCCACGTGCGGTGCGATGCGAGTGCAGAGTGGCCAGCTATATGCACTGGACCCTCGTCATGGATTTGCGCCAACGACGTGGCATCGCAAGACGGGCAACCTCGTGGCGATTGCCTTCCACAATGAACCGCATGATGCGATCGCGGGACCAGTGCACGAGCGGATGGTTGCGCTCACTCTTTTCTGGACATGCTCGCAGATCCTTGGATTGTACTTGGCGATTAGAATATGTCTCCTCAGCAGTTGGCAGATAGCGAGTACCCTGAAGAGTGGGATGGCTCAATTCTGGCGGCACCTGGCTCGGCCACATGTGGCAAGGGCGTGGGGTCCACCATCGTCTTTGCGGTGGTCAAGCGTGGGCTGGAGACTCCGGCGGTGCTGCGTCAAGTTCATGATGTACCCTGGGCTACCCACTGCGGCATTGAGGTCTGCGCGGGGGAGTCTCAACCTTGGTGGTATCAGGCACTGGATATTCCCACCGAGCTACCCTGCCCCCCACGCCCGCGTTGTCAAGCCGACCCTAATAGCAAGACATCCCTGTGGAAGAAGGCGGCACTGGAGAAGCGCCAGCGCCAGCTACCCGACGAGCTGCAGGGGGCCCCCATGGAGGTCTCACGGGACGCCGGTGAACCTGAGGCCCCTGCACTCCTCACGGCCGCGGAGATCGACTATGTCAGCGGGGTTGACATTGCCATCCCCCTCGGCTTGTGGAGGCAGCACCAGGGCGACGCGATGGAGGCCCTGGACTGCTACGACGTCAGAAGAAGTACGCGGGATGGTTGGCAGATATGCGGAAGGACAAGCCAGGAGTCTCACATCGCCCAGACAAGCCCCAGGAACAACAGCGATTGGAGATATGTGTGCGTGGCCAGAAGATTGCTAATCCTACGCTTATCATGGGCAGCAAGAGACGCGAGCGGGAAAGCGTCTGGAAGCCACGCGAGACGAAGCAGCAGATCCTGGACGCCTTGGACAAGGCGCGTCGACGGCTTCAGGATGACCCCCCTGAGGCTATCTCGATCGGCGACCTGAAGCGCACGCTCCAGACCGCGCCAGGAGCCAAGGCCAAAGGGGTGGACATGACAGGCCCTTCGGCCTCCTGGAGTTGGCGGTTTCGCTTGGTCGGGCGCGGTTTCGCCCGAGACGTCCTCGCAAATTGCCTGGTGTCGCAATAGTTTCGGCCTGGTTAGTCGGAGACGTCGTCGGAATTTGCTTGGTTTCGCCCTGGCTTCGGAGCGTCTTCGCTTGAGACGTCCTCCCAATGTGCTTTGTTTGCCCTTGGCTGGGGCGCGATTCCGCCAGAGACGTCCTCGCAATTTGCCTGGTTTGGCCCTGGTTTGGGCGCGGTTTCGCCCGGCATGGTTGGGGGCAACTTCGGCACACCTTGGGTCAAGCGTCGCCGGCGGGGACCTTGCAACGTCCCTGGTTCAAACGGGCATACTGCAAAATCTCCACAATTCGCCCGGTCTCTGGCGCGGGCATGGCCCGACTACATCTAACACGTGCGCATTGTCCTCCTCCTCCTCCCCCCTCCTCCTCGCGGTCCTCCTCGCGGTCCTCCTCCTCCTCCTCCTCCTCCTCCTCCTCCTCCTCCTCCTCCCTCCTCTTGATCCTCGTTCACCATCTTTCCATCCTCCCCCACTTCCTTATCAGCGGTCATTCAATGAGTGCCCTCTGCTGAGGACGGACCCGAGCCAGTCTCATTAATTTAGCCTCGCGGGCGCAAGCACGTGCAAAAGTACGGTGTGTGTGTTCAGCGCACATACTGATCCACGCTCTGCACCACTGTGCTACAGTATAACAGGCGAAGTGGGTGTGAACATCCGAAGCGCAGTGTGTTCGACCACAGACAGCATCACGTGGTGCAGCCATCGCTCACATAGTTCCTGCTGCAACGCGGCACTGGATAACGCGGCGGCGTCAGGAGAAAACCTGTCCCAGCCTGTAGTCTGTAGTGCTGTGACCTCCTTGGAGGCGTGTGTCCGAACCGAACATCTATTCCAACCATCTTGTTGTCTGTCGCTTCCCGAGCGGTACGGCCACTCGGCGCCCGCCGCGGAGCTCCTGCTCTGAAAATGTCCGAACGCACGCGTCGCCCTTACGCGCGGCGGACGCACAGATCGTATCAGCATGTTCGGGCGGTGCCGACCAGAGAGCACTGGCTGACCCCATTAGCGCTGACCCCCGATACTTTGAACTCCCGAACTGGATGCGGAGAAAATGGGCACCATGCCCAACGACCGCCGTTGTCCAAAACCAACAGCGGCCGCTGTTGGGCAGGCGGCCTTCTGCCTGCAGTGGACAACGTCCGCGGCGACGCGGACAAAGAATCCTGTTCTAAATGGATGGGGAGCGCTGTTGTTCTTCGTACCCATATTTTCAGTGCCCATTTCAATCGTACCAAATTGCGTGAGCCCCGAACGTGACACCCTTGCCCGCGCCCGGGACCAGCCCCCGTCCCGGCCCCACACGGCAGTCCGGAGCAGAACAGCGTGAAGTGACCCAGCACGAAGACGCAGCGGCTGGCGCAGGGCCCCTGGCGCCAAGGCGCAGCTCTCTCCACCTCCTCCTCCTCCTCGTCCTCCTCCTCCTCCTCCTCCTACTCCTCCTCCTCCTCCTACTCCTCCTCCTCCTCCTCCTCCTCCTCCTCCTCCTCATGTTCCTCCTCCTCATGTTCCTCCTCCTCCTCCTCCTCCTCCTCCTCCTCCTCATGTTCCTCCTCCTCCTCCTCCAAATCCTTATCGTTTTACGCCTCCACCACCTCCTCCACCTCCTCATCCTCCTCGTCCTCCTATTTCTTTCTCCCCACTCATATTTCATTACTCCTCCTCCTCCTCCTCCTCCTCCTCCTCCTCATCCTCCTTCTCCTCTTCGTCATCATCATCACCACCACCACCATCATGAGCAGCACATCATCATATGCATCAGCAGCATCACCATCATCATCTGATTCATCTTCATCACCGTCACCACCATCATCATCATCATCAGCATCATCATCATCATCATCATCATCATCATCATCATCATCATCATCATCATCATCATCATCAACATCAACATCAACATCATCATCATCATCATCATCATCATCATCATCATCATCATCATCATCATCATCATCATCATCGCCTCATCCTCATCAGCACCATCATCATCATCGTCGTCTCGTCGTCGTCGTCGTCATCGTCATCGTCGTCGTCAGAGTCGTCGTCATCGCCACCATCGTCGGAAACACCAGCAGCGTGATCATACAGGGGGTGTATCCGAAGTGCCCCCTCTAGATACGTGCATCCGCACCGTCATCATCTTCATCATCAGCATCAGCATCATCAGCAGCATAAGCATCAGCATCAAAATCAGCATCAGCATCTGCGACAACGTACTATCCTCCTCCTCATCATCATCATCACCATCATCATCCGTATCACGAACAGCTTCTGAAGCATTAGCACCCGCATCCTACACGTATTCATTAGATCACCGTCGTTCATGATCATCAGCATCAGCAACATCATCATCATCATCAACATCATCACCAGCAACATCATCATCAGAAGTCAGACCAGTGTCATCATCATCATCATCATCATCATCATCATCATCATCGTCATCCTCATCAGCATCATCATCATCAGCAGCATCAGCATCAGTATAATCATCATGAGCACCCTCATCATCAACACCATCAGCATCACCATCGACACAATCACCAGCAGAACCAGCAGCCGCATAGCCCACAACGACAACCACAACAACATTTTGATTAACACCAAAGATCACAACAAAAAGAACAACAACCACCACAACAACCGCAGCAGCAACAGCAACAACAACCACAACCACAACCACAACCACAACCACCGCAACAACCGCAACAACAATAACAACGACAAGCCTAATAAGTTTAAGAATAAGAATCCTGACCCTTATCTGCTCGCGTGCCCTGCAACACGTCTCCCAAGCCCTCGATGCCCGCCCTGTTCGTTTTCGTTCGCTCCCCCTCGGGGGTCCATCTCTCTTACCTACCACATTTACCTGGCGCAGCCCCCCACGGGAAGAGAGGAGGGAAGAGACAGGGGGGAGGTGCGCGGCACCCCCCACGGAGCCGCGTTCCATTTCGAGCCAGGAGGGCTGCGGTCCTGCACCCTCGCACAACATCCCAAAACTATCCTCATAGCTTTGGCATGTCTCCTCGCCGCGTCATTGCGGAGCGAGGCGCGGCGCCTCCCGCGGAGCCTCCCGTTGGGAGCAGTCTCTCAGGGGCTGTTGCGAACCTTCAGGCGCTGGTGCTCGCAGCCACTTTGTGCCCTGGATGGCCCCCTCGCCACCCTCGCCAGCCCGTTGGCCAGGTTCGCCTCCAGGCCCGTCGCGCTGAAGCCACACGCCCGCAGCGCCGCCATCAGCTCGTCCACATTGTAGCGCATCAGCTCGTCTCTGACGGCTATCTGCTCGCCACTGAGTGGAACGCCGTGGAGCTCCTCATACTG